GCCAGGGGCACACGAAGGTGATCTGGTCCCGCAGCATCACTTGGGTGTCACCCACGGCATTCCCAGGTCACGCTGATCCATCCAGGCTCTCGAGGCCTCTGCATCCCCAGAGCTCAGCCCTTCCCAGCGCGCACGTCGGGACTCAGCATCCTCCCGAACCCGCGCAGCGCATCCCTCCTCTGTGGACTGGGACGGAGCCACGGAAGGAGGAAGCGACTCCAGAGACGTCGCGCAGCAAACCTGTGGCAGAGGTGATCTGAACCTCCCGAATCGCTGCTCAGCCCCGTCAGCGGGCGACGCTTCCTCCCGAGAACGGCGAGACCCCTAAACGAGCCCAGCTTCGGGGCGCACAGGCACCCACAACCCGCCCGTGGGCGGCTGCTGATCCGGAGCGGCCATGCTGCGGGGAGCGGGGAAGCCACCGGCGCCTTCCCGCTGGTGTGGGACAGACGGCACCGTGCAAACCCGGGGATCACTCCCATGAACGCGGTGTCGGAGACGTCCTCATCGCAAAGCACAATCCAAAAATCGTGTTTGTTTCCCCCCTCCATCCCTCTTAAAAATCATCCTCGTTCTTTACAATCTCGGTTTATGATTTATCGACTGCGAGGTGTAACACCCCGCAGCTCTCAGCCGCCAAGCCCCAGCAGCCCTGTGAGCACCCACGGGTGCTGGGGCAGAAAGGGGCTCAAGAGGGAGAGCATCCCGCTCCAGCACCCTTCACCGGGGAGTCCAGGAGGGCGACCCTTCGCCCGGAGCACCGGATGCAGCCAGAGCTTCTTCCCTCCGTTTTCCCGGCGGGACGGCAGCACAGCCCCCCTGTCCCAGCATCCCCCACGGCTCTTCCGCAGTCAGGTCACATCATCTTCCCACGTCTCCCGCTGGGACAGGGTCACAGCCAACCCTCTGCCCCCGTCCCCGACGCGCAGCCGGGGAGCGAGCGCTCCATCACCGCCGGCTGTAGGACGCGGTGCCACGGGGTCCATCACCACCAGGGCACCGACCCCGGGGATGTCCCCCTTCCTCCCCGGACCAAAAACCATCGCATCACGGCGAGGGAAGGCAACGACACCAGGATACAGTGCCAGGCAAGACACGAAGCAGACATGGCCGGGTCACCGGCTCCCCCAGGGACACGTCCCACCTCCCCACCCACCCAACAAGCCCCCGGTACCTGCCCGCGCCAGCAGCCCTGCTCCGTGCTCCCAGCCAGCCCCAATGCAGGCGACAGCTCCTGCCCGCCGCCAACAATTTTAAACCACTGCTTTTTGAACCTCCGGCTAA